GCCCGGCGCCGGGCCGGGTTCTCGGAGCCAATCGGCTCCACCCACTGAACCCCACTCCCCGCCCAGAGCTGGGGAGAGAACCCAGGAGTCCGGGTTGGGCTGATATTTCTGTTGTTCATTCTCCTCCCCTCCTGTCTATTGCTGCATTTCCCGCCCCCCCCCCCACCTTGCTTTAAATCTACCTGCTGGGGGCAGGGGGCAGGTCAGGGGCTAGACGAACCCAGAAGGAACAGGCCTGTTTGCCGTGGGGGGTGGGGGTCCCTGCTGCATGCTAAAGCCAAAATTACAGCATGGGGCAAACCGCCTCAGGGGACGTTTGTGCCTTACCCCCCCGCGAGAGTCTCTGTCTCCCCTCACACACACCCCCCCCCGAAGCACCACAAGCGCTTCCCAAAATGTCCTGCACCCACCAGCGACGACTCACCCAGCCGGGTCACTCCCCACGGGAAGGGCAGTGTGGGCGTGCACCGGGGGCATTGGAACAGGGGGCCATGGCCCCCCACTTTTTACCTGCCACAAGGGCAAGCGACGGGGGGAGGGGGCAGAGAGGAGTGAGTGGAGGGAGTCTCGGGGGGACGGCAGGACGCAGGGGCCCCCCCACTTTTAGTGCCCGGCCACCGCTCCTGACGTGCACAGCCGGCTCCGCCGCGCACCACTGTGAGTGGGCTCCACTTCATTTTGCAGTGTAAACGCGCCGTTAAACCGGAACAGTTGCTTTATGCGACTCTGCGGGGTGGGGTGGGGTGGGGCGGGGGGGCGGATTCCTGGGGAAAGCCCATCAGGTTTGCTGAAGGGAGGGATTTACTCACATACCCACAGGCGGCCCTCGGAGCTGGGCGACCGGCCAGCAGCCGCTGCTCGCCCAGCGTGAGCCCCAACACAAATGAAGCACTGTGGGGAGGGACGATGGGCCCGGGGTAGGGGCAGCAGGGCCAGGGGCATTTTCCCTGAGACCAGCCTGGGTGAGGTGGGAGGGGGGCTCTGGCTTGTTCCTCTCCCTGCGGTTTGGTTTGTCTCTGCGGGCGAGTCACGGACATTTCGGCAGGAAGTTTTTCCAAGGCAAACGCCCTGGATCCGGGCCTGGCCAAGTCCCCGCGCCCAGACGGCTGCCCCAGGGCGGCACTAAGGGGTACCGTGCTGCAGAGAGCGGGGCTGGGGTCTCAGCAGGGGGCGCTGTGCTACAGGGAGCGGGGCAGGGGTCCAATGGGGCCGCTGTGCTGCAGGGGGGGCCCAGTAGGGGGCGCGCTCCCCCAGCAGTCAGTGCCAACCCCGCTGCCCCATGGTGGCAATTTTCCAAGCCAAGCGGAGATTTCCTGGTGCCAACGTTTCCTGGGTGCAAAGAGACATTTTCCCTGGCCCAGCAATGGCCATTTTTCAGCTGGTCCCTCGTTTTCCTTCCTTCGTCTGCGTCTCTGGCACTGTTTATTTCTCGCGCCCGTGGCTGGCGATGGGCCCGCTGAACCCAGCAGGGGTACACCCGCCCCAGCAGGGCCGCCCTACACTGCCTTGCTTTCTTGCCTTTCTTCTTGGGGTCTTTTTTCCTAGTTCATTCATTCCTTCTTCCTCCCTCTCTCATGTTTCAGGGCAGCCCCCTTTCTTTCTTTCTTTCTTTCCCAGCCCCTCTGTCAAGCCGCCCGTCCCGCCCGCCCCGTGGCTGGAAGAACCAGGTCGCTCTCTGCAGCTCAGACAGAAGCCAGGAGCATGCGCCCCCTGCCAGGGGCCGGCCCGGCTCAGCCCCACATACCGACCTAGCAGGGTGCGTGGAATGCGGACAGAGCAGACGGCGCAGGCCAGACACACACACACCAGCCCGCCAGCCGCGCACGCACCCACGCCAGCCAGGGCGCCGCCAGACGCCGACCCCGCCGGACCCCGGGCAGCAGGGGGCACAAGGCCAGCGACGGGGCGATCAGACCCCCCTGGCCCTTCCGGCACGGCTTGGGACTTGGAGTGTCGGACGAGAGAGCACCGGACAAAGCCATGGACTGAGAGAGAGACGGGATAGATAGATAGATAGATA